ACTGAAAACATATGTCCACACATATGTTCACTAACAGCATTATTTATAATAGCTAAGAAGTAGGAACAACCCAAATTTCTGTCAGTTGATGAATAGAAAAAATGTGGTATATTCAGCCCCAGCCAGGTGGCTCTGTTGGTTGGAGCGTCATCCTGTACACCAAAAGGTTGTAGGTTCAATTCCCATCAGGGCACATACCTAGATTGTGGGTTCCATCCCTGGTTGGGGCGTGTACAGGAGGCAACTGATCAATGTTTTTCTCTCCCTCTCTCTCTCAAATCAATAAACATATTATCAGGTGAGGATTAAAAAATGTGGTATATCCATACAATGAAATATTATTTGGCCATAAAAAGAAATGAAGTTTTGATATGTGCTACAACAAGCATGTCAAACTCGTGGCCCGTGGGCCGCATGCGGCCCAGCCAATATAACGGTATATAAGAAACATTTCAATAAAAATTTTGTAACTTAATTTTTACAATATCTTGTTATACATAATTACCAATAACAAATTACAAAGTTCGCTAATGACTGATTACTATAACCGTGTTGCATTCATTTCCCTAACGCACCTTACACGCAGGCGCACCATTTCTCTCTACTAATACTAGCAGTGAATATTTAGCAGCTGATTGCTACCTCATTAGTCTTGGGCTGACTTGTTTGGTGTGCACAACAGGAAATATTTCACTTTTGGAGAACAAGAATAATAGGTTTATGTGCATTACGCTTATTAATTTGTGCAGTGATTCAGTGTCTGGTAAATTAATGTTCAAGAAAAAATATGAATTTTTATTAAAATGTTCTATTATTTTATGTTAATGATGACTCATTTATTTCAGCCCTTCGTATTCTGCATGTCTCTATTGAAATAAACCTACGTTCCTATGAAAATTGAAGCTTTTGTTTCTTTGTGACCCACATAAACTTAAACCTTGTTTATTTGGCCCGTGTTAGCCTTTGAGTTTGACATGCTTGTGCTACAATATGGATGAATCTTGAAAACATTATGTTAAGGGAAAGAAGCTAGGCACAAAACCCCACATAAATATAATTTAATTTATATAAAATATCCAGAACAGGCCCTGACCGGTTTGGCTCAGTGGATAGAGCGTTGGCCTGCAGACTCAAGGATCCCAGGTTTGATTCCGGTCAAGGGCATGTACCTTGGTTGTGGGCACATCCCCAGTAGGGAGTGTGCAGGAGGCAGCTGATCCATGTTTCTCTCTCATTGATGTTTCTAACTCTCTATCCCTCTCCCTTCCTCTCTGTAAAAAATCAATAAATACATTAAAAAAAATATCCAGAACAGGCAAATCCCTAGACACCAAAATAATCAGTGGTGGGAAGGGGCTGAGGGGGGCGGGGGGCGGGCAGAGGGAATGGAGAGTGACCGTCAATGGTTACAGAGCTTCTTTGTGAGGTGGTGAAAAATGTTTGGGAATTAGATAGTGGTGATCAATGCATTTTATTGTTATTATGGGATTTTTAAAAAAATATATTTTTTTTATTGATTTTTTACAGAGAGGAAGGGAGAGGGATAGAGAGTCAGAAACATCGATGAGAGAGAAACATGGATCAGCTGCCTCCTGCACACCCCCTACTGGGGATGCGCCCGCAACCAAGGTACATGCCCTTGACCGGAATCGAACCTGGGACCCTTCCGTCCGCAGGCCGACGCTCTATCCACTGGGCCAAACCGGTTAGGGCTATTATGGGATTTTTTAAGTTAGGAGACAGGTCGGGCTATTCCCATAATAACAATGCATTTAGTATATTTTGTGACTGTACTAAAACCACTGAATTACACACTTTGAAATGGTGAACTTTACTGTATGTGAATTATATCTCAATACAACTGTTATCTCAAAAAAAGTCATTAGAAAATAAGAAGTCTGACAAGTGAAAGGGATAGAACAAAAGAATGTCCAAAACCAGACCCCACAGCAAAGAGGTGCCTAGTGTGTGATAGCGCCTTTCAGAGCCACGGGGGGAGGACGGAATCATTTCACCCCAAAACCGACCACCCAGAAACGGTGAAAGCAAATGGCTTCCCCTCTCTGTGCTTCCGTTTCCTCATCTCCCACTCTGACATGCTCACAGCTACTCAGACAATGCTTGGGGATATTCAACGACTAAAGCGACTGCCTGGGGCCTGGCGCATGGGAAGCCCTCAGAAAAACAGTCGCTGCCTTCACAACAGGCCCAGAACGGAGAACCACAGCATCTTAGAGGGACCCGCGGGGGCAGCTCCACGGAATCCTGGAGTCTCAGGATGTCAGAACGGGAGAATCTTAGAATAATCCATGCGTAGAATCCTGGAACCATAGAGCCACTGAATTGTAGGCATCTGCGAGCCAGAAGGACCTCGGAGACCATCTGTCCCGTGATCTGCAAGTCTGGAGATTTTAAACTAATAGTAACAACAACAACAACAACAACAGCAACAACAGCAATAACCATGGCAGCAGCAGCAGCAGCAGCAGCTAATGGTGCTTACCATGTGCCATGCACTTTTCTAAACTTTCATACAGCAACTTACTTAATCCTGGCAACAACCCAACAAGGTATGCACTATTACTATCACTTTATACGGATTAGAAAATAAAGGCACAGAGAGGTTCAGTAACTTACTCAAGGTTACAGGTACCAGATAGTGAACATTAGAGCTAGGATCTGATCCCAGGCCAGAGTCCACATTCAGATTCCAAGGCCTTAGCCCCAGAAATTCTGGGTCAGGGTGGGGACCCTGGAGTATATATTGTAAGCTACCTAGATAATTCAGATACTAGCCAGGGCTGAGCATCACCGGTTTAGCAAAACTGGTGGCAAACTGGTGGTCCTTAGGCCATAGCCAGCCTATAGCCACACAGTGGCTATATATGATTGATTTCAGAGAGGAAGGGAGACGGAGAGAGAGACAGAAACATCAATAATGAGAGAGAATCATTGATCAGCTGCCTCCTGTACGCCCCCTACTGGGGATAGAGCCTGCAACCAGGCATGTGCCCTTGACCGGAATCAAACCCGGGACCCTTCAGTCCACAGGCCGGTGCTCTATCCACTGAGCAAAATCAGCTAGGGCGCCACACAGTGCTTTAAAATTGAAGCTGTCCTTTAAAAATCAGTTGATTTCAAATATTTCTGGCTGCTTTTGAAAAATTTGGAAGATGTGGCAACCCTATGTCCACATTCCCAAAGGGCAAGTATCAAGTGTAGTTGAGCAGCAGCTGCCCCCTTAAAGGGTGGTATTCTATCTCTAGGATGAAGCCTTGGTCCTCAATCCTTCACGTTCCCTTTCTGAATCCTGGAGGCATTTCCATTTATAATCCCTGGTTTGGCCCAGCTCCCACACTGTAAAGAAAGGGAAACTGAGGCTTATAGAAAGGAAGAAGACCCAGAGTAAGTAATACAGCAAGTCCAAGGAAAAAGGGAACAGCCCGACCTGTCTCCTGACTAAAAAAATCCCATAATAACAATAACAACAGCCAACATTTTTTTGAGAACTTTCCATGCATTAGGCATACATGCTAAGTGATTTTCAAACATCAGTGAACACGAACTACCGCCTTAAGCGGGTACTATAATAAAGCCCATTTTATAGATGAGAAAATGAGGCACGGAGAAATCAAGTCACTTGCTCAAGGTCACACAGGCCAGAGGTATCAGAGTAAGATTCAACTCTACATCGGACTCCAGGGCCCGAGCCTTCAGTCATTATCCCCCTCATTCTGTGGAGTCTCGGAGTAATAATAAGGCAGAGGGAAAGTCCTGGTTGTATAAACCTTGGACTCCACGGTCTCAGAGTTCCTGTGGATTAGGGGGTGGGGGTGGGAGGCTCAGGCACAGACGGTGCTGACCCCATTCCCTCTGCAACATGAACAAACTCTTGGTGAACCCAGGGTCCCTTGTGGCAGCGACCAAGGTGGAGGGAAGAGGCAATACCCTCGCTTTCCTGCAAACTGTGGGTCAGCTGCTGGTGGGAGAGGCCGGCAGGGCGAAGGGAGCGGAGCGGATTCAGCACCAAGGACAGCGACCGCGCGGCAAGCCCCGCCGTCCTTTTTTGGGGGACGATCAGCTGGGCAGCATTCTTCCGAGGCTCTCCCACCACCGTTTCCCCCACGAGCTTGGGGAAACGCGGTCCCCCACCTCAGAGCAACAAGAATGACCACGAATTCCAGATGCCTTTTGCCAAGGCCCTCCATTCGTTTCTAGGCAGACATTCAGGAACCCAGTCCGCCGCCCAGGGCTTCCCGCCCCTCTGACACCTTGTGTGCAGGGCGATGGGGAGCGGGAGCGGGGAGAGAGAACGGACATGCGCAGCTCGCCCCGCGCTCCCCTCCGCCTGGGTCCCTGCGCTCAGGACGCCGCCGCCGCCGGGGGCTCCGCAGCGGGCCCACCTGCCGCACCGTGGTCATGGCAACCGGGGAGGCCTGGGAAGCCATTGGTCCGCTCCCAGCCACGCCCCTGGCGGCCGCCGCTGCCCCGGAACTGAGACGGCGGAGAGACGCTGACGGCTCCGTAGGAGAGGGACCCGCCCCTCGCTCGCTAACGAAACATCCTTTCTCCAAAATGGTGGCTACCCCCGTACAATAATTCACGGAGAGAAGGAGTATGAGAGGCTCAGCGCCTCGGGAGGTGGACGGGCTGTCGCTGAGGTTACTTCCGGTGAGGACAGGAAGTGGGAGGCAGGTTGCCGGGAGAGACAATGGGATGAGTTGGGGGGCGGAGAGGATGTGGAGGGTCCCAGGAAGGAGGGATACGCAGGGGGTTGTGGGTCAGATTCTAAGGCCTTCGCACACTCCCTTAGTCAGGAAGTCTGGAGTCCCCAGGCGGACTCCCTAAGAGTAATAATACTAACCACGGCCGTGTATTCGATTGCCAAACATTTGATCAACATGAACCCTCTGAACCCCCATAATCATCCAGTGATGGGAGAATGTGTCACTTCCCGAACCGCACCAGCGTTACAGAAACCCACGCTGCCCCGTGCTGACCTGCTTGGCTCTGTCGGGGTTCATTGTGGTTTGGGGTTGAAGGATGTTGACCACCTCAGGCTTGGTCATCGCCTGTGGGATTTCTCGGACCTTCTCGGCAATAAAGCTGTGCACGGCGTTCAAGGCCTCTGCTGTGCCCTGCACCAGGCATACTCGCTCTGTGGTTCCTGTTGAGCAAGGAAGAGACAGGCCCCGTTTAATGGCAAGAGAAGAGAAAACGGAGGACCTGAGAATGTGGGGTCACATGGGAAGCCCGTGCGAGCTGGCATGGGCTCCCAGGCCATCGCGGGCAGCTGGGAGAGTGAGTGGAATCCCTGTTTTGTAACCTGCACTTCACGGCCCTCCCCTAAAACAACCCGAGGGGATGGAAGAATGATGCTTAAGTGCTTGGCGATGCCCACAGCCGCCCTGGGCAGGGGAGACAGGGCTCAGCTGCCTCTTCCCAGTCCTTGCTGGCTCCCGGTTGCTTTGGCAACCATTCACTCACTCCCCCCCTTCCAGAAGCGGGAGAGCTCAGGCCTGCAACGGTTGCCACAGTAACTGGAACCCCCTTATCGGTCTGGCTGGCCGGGTCCTCAGCCCACCCCCAGGGGGACGAGGGATGAGGCCCTGTTGCCATGGCAACCCCTGAAAGCCTGCAGCGAGGGCCTCTGGGCTTTTGGAGAGGATGGGGAAGGGTTGGGGGATGGGGAGACAGAAGAGAGGCCTGAGTGCCTGCCTGGACCCACCAGATGGAGGGCTGAGGGGTGGGGGAGGGCACGGGTGTGGACACAGGGGAGGGCAGAGGGGGTCAAAGGCAACTCATGGGAGCGTGGGCAATGGGGGACTGGGTGCCTTTGCTGGAAATTCTCCACATATTGGCTCTGGTTCTGACCCAGGCATCATTGTGTGTGTGTGTGTGTGTGTGCGCGCGCGCGCGTGCGTGCTGGGGGGCAGTAGGGAGACCTCTGGGTGGTGTTGGGGTAATTTTGTGGGAGACACACACTGGGTGACACTGTGAGAGCAGTGTGAGTATATTTGTGACTCTGGTTGAGTGGTGTGTGTGTGTGAGCACACGCGTGTGTTCACTTGGGGGCAGGACTGGTTAAATGATCTTTATCTGCGGATGAGTGTATAAGAGAAAGAGCAGGAGAGATGAGAGATAAACAGACTGCATGACATAGTGATTCCAGGAAAGGAGTTTGTGTGTACTCTTGTATGTGAGAAAGTCGCTGTGATGTTCAAGGTTAAGCATACTGTGAATTTGAAAGAAGCAAAGAATCTCAGGAAGCAACGCTGCGGCTATACAATGAGTGCGTACCACTGTACCTGTATGACAGTGTGTGTGTTTGCCTATATGTGTGTACAGGTGTGTAAGGGAAAGAGACAGCTAGACACCCTAGGTGTTCAAAACACTATCTGAGTGACGGGTACGTGGTATGAATGTATAGGCGTGTGACAGTGTGTATAGGATACAGACAAGGCTATGACTGATGTGTGTGTGTAAACACAAGAAAGAGACCTACAGGCAGACCCAGGTGTCAGGATGTAAGACCGTGTGGAGGACTGGTGTGTTTGTATGTGTGTGTCGAGTGTCTGTATGACAGCCAAAGAAGACTCCGCTATGAAGGGGCTGGTCTGAGGATGTGAGCGCCTGGGTGAGCTGGCCCTGTTCGGTGTGTGGGGCTGTGTGTGTCTCTCCCTGGTGGGACTCCGTCTGTAGGACCAGTTAGCTCCCTGGTTCTGTAAAAAGTCTTGAGCGTGTGCCAGGCTTCACGTGACTGCCTGTCTGAGACACTGGGGCGCGTGTCCAGCGTCCTGGGGGCGTTCTCACGCAGCGTGCTGGTCTGCTCTGACCCCTCGCTTGCCACCTCGCAGCCTCGCAGGCCAGTCTTGCCCTGTGTGGGTGTCCCTGTCTTGGGTCACTTGTGCAGTTGACATCCTCCATCTCCTTTGGGCCGCTGTTGCTCACTCTGACTCCCCCCCCCCCCCCCCACCCCAGAACAATGGCTTGGTCTGAGCCAAGGGTGAGTCAGGGCGCAGGCTGCCTCCGTCTGGGTGTAAATAGGAAAGGGTGTGGGTCAGGGTGGGAACTGGGGGGATTCGGGGCGGCCCCAGGGAGAGCCTGGATGAAGTGGCCGGGTTCTCCGTCACTGCGGGGTTTCTCTCTGGCTCAGAGAGTCTGTGATCACCCCTCCCCTGGTGGTTCTTAACCCGGGTCCGCAGGGCTTTTACGGGGCCCAGTTAAACTCGGCGAGACTGTCCAATAATAACAGCTGGTGCTTACATAACACCCAGCACCAGGCGCCGTTCTAAGCGCTTTATATATATTTGTTCACTTTCATATATAAGACAGGCGACGTTATTCTTCCTGACTTACTGCTAAGGACACTGAGGCACAGAGGAGCTTTGGGGTTTGTCCACGTTCACTCAGCCCGGAGTGAAAGATCAGGGTTGTGAACCCAGGTGTCTGGCTCAGAGTCTGATTTTGTTTTTTTTTTAATCCTCACCCGAGGATACTTTTTCCATTGATTTCTAGAGAGAGTGGAAGGGAGGGAGGAGGCGGGCAGAGAAAAAGAGAGAGAAACATCGATGTGAGAGAGACACATCGATTGGCTGCCCTCCCCCCTCCCCCCCGACCCCGCATGTGGAACTTGCAACCGAGGTATGTGCCCTTTACCGGGAACTGAGCCCAGGCCCCTTCAGTCCACAGGCCAAAGCTCTAACCATTGGGAAAACCGGCCAGGGTAGAGTCTGAGCTTTTAACCACTGAGCCACATGTACTGAATTTGTGGGGTGTGAAATACGTGTGTGTGTGTGGGGGGAGGGAGGCTTAACAGGATTGCAGTTTTGCTTCTTTTTTGTTGTTGTTGTTAATCCTCTCCTGGGGATATTTTTTCCATTGCTTTTCAGAGAGAGTGGAAGGGAGGGAGTGGGAGAAAGAGTGAAAGAGAGAGGGGGGGAGAAAGACAGAGAGGAGAGAGAGAAGCATCTATGTGAGAGAGACATATCGACTGGTTGCCTCCGAATCGGGGGTGGGGAGCAAACCTGCAACCCAGGTAGGTGCCCTTGACTGGGAATCAAATCCAGGAGCCTTTGGTGCACCGGCCGATGTTCTAACCACTGAGCAACACAGGCCAGGGCTGCTTTTGTATTCTTGACAGTAAAAAAGAATATGTGTGAATTTATTAAGTGGTCACTTAGGATTTTGTCCTTTGGTGCAAATATATATTATAAATCAATTTTTAAAAAGCGTGTGTGTCTGTTTTCCTTCTGGGATAGGGGCCAGGGCTTCAGATGGATGCTCAAATTCAGGAGGAGTTTCGAATCACGAGGGTGTCTGGGTGAGTGCGCAGGAGTCTGTGCGGCTTCGGGCAGGGACCTGACTCTCTTTCTGTGTCTCCATGGATGACCCGAAAGGATTAAATCTGGGGTTTGGGGTTTCCTGTACCCAGGAGGGATCCCCCTTTGTGTTCTGCCCCTCCCTTGAGGTTAAGGGCCAGGTAGGTGTTATAATAGACACACAAGTGCAGTGTATGTGTTTATGTGTGAACCTACTAGGCCTAGCAGACCCTTTCCATGTCTCTCCTGCTCTCTACGCTTCAGCCACACTGAATAAACAGCCCTCTACCTCGCTCACTTATACTTATTGTTCTGGGCTCCTCCTCCAGGAAGCCTTCCTGACCTCCCCAGGCTGAGTCGAGTGCCCCTTCTGAGCTCTCACCATCCTCTGGGCTTCCCCACCTCGCCCTGACCACTCTGGATCACCACTCATGTTGGGTCTGGCTTCCGTACTGGGATGTGAGATTCCAGAGGGCAAGGCTGGGCACCTCAGTCACTGCTGTGTCCCCATCTCTGTCCAGCACAGGGTGGCATAGAGGAGCTGCTCAGAGACTGTGTGCTGAATGAATGATGGAAAGGGTGTCAGCCAGAAGCAGAGGGAAGTAGCTATTTGTCTTGAGCAGCAGCATCTTGTGTTCCCGTGGGTCCCGGGAAGTCCTAGGGACAGGACTAGGGTAGAGTGGCTGGGTCCTGTGTATGAGTCAGGAGCTGGCACAGGCCATATGATCTGGAGCAGGGAGGGAGGCTGGTCGCACGTCCAAGGACCGGGGACAGACGCTGGCTTATGTTTGTTTGAATTGTATTTATCCCCGGAGAGTCAATGACTGTCCCATCCTCTGGGGATCCCAGATGCCCGGTCTGTGGGGTGTGTCACCCAGTTGGGAGGGGGTGATGACGTGTCTCATGTCTCAGAATGTGATTCAGGGGCAAGAAACCCAGTGTCCTCGGATGCATGTCCCAAGCAGAGGTCTTATCTGTCTCTTGTGGGCTGGAGGGGCCTGGGGGCCACTGGGCCAGGGGAGAAGAGAAAAGGGGGGCTTGCCTGGTTCCCTGGACTGTTCTCTAAACCTCTTGCCAAAGCTGCTTACTGCGGGGGAGGGGCAGAGAGAGAGAGAGAGAGAGAGAGAGAGAGAGAGAATATGAATAAATGTGTCCTGACCCTGGGCTCCATCTCTGGTGTTTGACCTAAAAAAAATCCAAGGGGATTAAGGATGAACTAGAACCAGCTGGGGCAAATGTGCGATAATTTGGGGGCTTCCCTGGAATCCTAGATGCCCAGCGTGGGCATTGGTCCTGGGAGGGAGACATGCAGGGTGAGAGGTACTGAGGGGGATTAGAGAGAGCGGAGGGGCGTTGAAAATGCATGGTTGTGGGAAAGCAGACGGACATGGAGGAGAGGCAGAAGAAAGTCTGGGGTTTGGAGAGAGGACAAGATAAAAACGAAACCACACAGGAGGGAGCTGAGGCGTAGGAAAAGGAGAGAAACATAAAGGCAGAGATGGGCAAGCGGAGGGAGGGAGAAGTGAGGGACAACCCCAACAGAGGATGACCTCATTGAGGGGCGCCACTGAATACTGGCTGAATGGGTGATTGGACAGATGCAGTCGGGAGAGCAAGAGAAAGAAAAAGGGGAGAATATGAGAGGTGGAGGGAAAGGAAAAGATGGGGAGTAGAGATGGGAAGCTAGAAAGGGAGGGAAAGCAGAGGGGAGGGAGAGGGAAAGGCAGAGACAGACGACAGACAGACCGGATGAGAGACTGAGAACAAGATGTGAGGGACAGCCAGCAGAGCCAGGGAGACAGACACGGGCCGATGGGACTGGAGTCTAAGGGAACAAAAGGTGGGAAAGTCAGAGATAGAATGAGAAAGAGACACAACAGGCAGAAAACCAGTGAGACTCAGAGCGGGCAAGATGGGGCGACAGAGAAACCCAAAGGGAAAGAGTAGGGGGAACAGTGTGTGTGTGTGTGTGTGTGACAAGGATGGCTGGCCCCCAAGCCCCAAGGAGCATCCTAACACCTGCCTCCCTGCCCCTCCGCGCAAGCTCCTCCAGCTGACCCAAAGGGGCAGGTGTGTGGGAAGGGGCACATCTGCCAGCACATCATGCAAATGAGCTCATGAATATGCAGCAGGCCCATTGTCTTGCCCTACCCCCACCCCCATCTGCTCTGGGCCTGGCCCCAGGGGCTGAGAGCAGCTCTGTCCTCCCCCGCCTTCGCCCCCCACTTAGGGGGAGGGGAGGTCCCCCACCACTCTCACAGTCCCTGGGGCAGCTGCTCCCCCTCCTCCAGGGCCCAGGTGGGAGGGATGGGCAAAGTCCTGGCAGGGGCTTACCCGGATAGAAGTCTTTGGACTTGGAGAGCTTGATGGTGGCTCCTGTCTCCTTCTGTAGCTGCACGATGGTTTGCCCGCCCTTGCCAATGATGGAGCCCGCTGCGTAGCTAGGGATCAGCACCTTCAGGAAGTATTCACCCTCCTCTGCAGGGGCACATGGCGGGACGAGAGTCAGGGGGAGGGGAGTGGTGGAGGGGTCTTCACCTTTCGGGGTCCCCCTTCAGGTGCCAGCACGGGGTGCCCTAGGAAACCACTGAGCTCCCGGTAACTAAGATACAGGAGCAATGACCACGAGGACAGCAGAAAGGAAAATAACAATAATGATCATTCATTCACTTGTACATAGTCACCGAGCACCTGCTGTGTGCTTAGCACTGTTCTGGCCAAACAGCCACGAAAGAAGCAAACTCCCTGATTTCGCGCGTAAAATGAGGCCGCAAGGGTTTTAGTGGGTAAGCCTAGAGCTTGCACAGCTACGTTCTCCTGGAGGGGGGACAGACAGCATGGTTGTCAGATGGTGGCGAGTGCGAGGGAAACAAAAACAGGCAGGAAAGGGCTGGGGAGTGGAGGGGCTGCACTGTCAGGTCCGGCAGCCAGGAAAGCCCTCCCGAGAATGGGGCTTTCTCTGTCAAACACGCTACAGCCCTACTATGTGCTAGACTCTCTCCCAAGTACTTACAAAGGCCAGTTCCTTGAATTTTCACACTGATGCGGCGAGGGAGGTACTTTAAAAAAACCCATTCTCGTTTAGGCCCGTGTTGCTAAGTGGTTAGAGCGTTGGCCCACGCACTGAAGGGTTGCGGGTTCGATTCCCAGTCAAGGGCAAGTATCTGGGCTGCAGGTTTGATCCCTGATCCCAGCCCCCCGTCAGTCGGTTGGGGTGTGTGTGGGAGGCAACCAATTGATGTATCTCTCTCTCCCCCTCCCTCCCACTCTTCTACTCTCTCTAAAAATCAATGAAAAAATATCCTCTGGTGAGGACTGACAACAACAACCCCCCCACCACACACACAAAACACACACACACACACACATACCCATCCTACAGATGAGAAACAAAGGTGAAGAAAGCGCCCCAGTTTGCATAGGTGACAGGGCTGAGATCCAGGGTTCTAGCTCTGAACCATGCTATCCTGTCCGCCCCCCTGGCTGTGGCTATTGGGAGAAAGAGCAAGTACAGAGGCCCTGGAGTGGGGTTATGCCTGGGTTGTTTCAGGGAGTGCGGTGGCGGGTGTTGGGACTGAGTGAGAGAGGAGAGTGGGAAGAGATGAGGGCTCAGAGGGGTGGTGGTGGCGGGGTTAGGTCTTTGTGGCCCACCGTGAGGTCTTTGGTTTCTACTCCAAATAAGATGGGCGCCACGGAGGGCTCTGAGGGGTGTGATCTGACTTAGGTTGCCAGATCCCTCTGGCACCCAGGAGGGGAGCAGTCTGAGAGCAGCCAGGGTGAAGAGCTGGGAGCCCGGGGAGGAGGGGACTGCAAAGGCCTCGGCGGGAGGTGATGGCAGTCTGACTGGTGGAGGCAGCGAGAGGTGAGAGGGAGGCGGCCGGATTCCAGAAATGTCCTCAACACTCATACGGCCCTGGCGCTGTGCTGCTTGGCAAGGTTGAACTTGTCCATTCCTCACAACCTGCCAGTGAGGGGGGTAGACGAGCCCCATTTTTTACAAAAGAGGAAACTGAGGCACGGAGGGACTCAGAGACGGAAAGGCACCACCAGCTCCGGGTCACCAGCCCAAGGGCGCCAACACAGTTAGTTGCTGGGCTGAGATTCAAATGCGATTCTGCTTGTTCTTGGCCCTCCCTTGCTTAACACCCTCCACTGCCCGTGGCCAAAGGCCAACGCGTTCAAGGACAGCCAGTCTCAAGACCGGAGATTCCAAGGTGGTGCCAAGGGTGTCTGTGGGGCTTGGCCATTCTTTGTGATGGCCATTTCCTTGGTCATGGATGGATAAAGCACTTAGTTAACACAGTCTCAAGGCCTCGCCTCTCCTACCTTCTAACCAAACTGTTGCCTTCTCAACCGAAGTCCCTTGGTGATCGGGCTCGCCCACCTTTCCAGCCTCAGGTCCTGGGCTTTCTCTATGGGCACTAGACATACTTTCCTTTCTGTTCCTCCGACATTTCTTCCTCCGTCCCACCTCAGGGCCTTTGCACATTCTCTGTGCCTGCAACTCCCCTCCCCCAGTGAATTCCCTTTGTCATTCAGATCCCCACTCAAATGCCTCTTAACTCTTGGAAGCTTTCCTTAAACTCTGAGGAGGGGATGTATTCAGAGCAATGTGTCACCGAAGCCCACTGTGGGCCATGCTCTAGAGCTCACCCTGGTGTCCCAGGGACTCACCCGCGCCCAGCAGTAGTGGGCATGCAATAAACACTGGGGG